TGGTTTGGTGTTGCTGGGTTTGTCGCTTGCGTGGGTGTGGTGGTTGTATGTTTGATTTTTGCCCATTTTTGCAGATCGGTGGTGGTTTGGTGTTGCTGGGTGTGTTCGCGTGCGTGGGTGTGATGGTTTTATGTTTGATTTTTGCTGATGGTTGCAGATCGGCGATTGTTTCTGTCGAACGGTGTTTGTTGGTTGTGTACGCAAGGGTGTGGTGGTTTTATTTCTGATTTTTGTCGATGGTTGCGGATCTGTGGTGGTTTCTGCCAAACTGTTGCAAATTTGTGGTGGTTTCTGTCGAACGATGTGGTGGTGCCCTGGTGGAGGCACTGGCGAAGTGGTGGACACAAATGATTTGGTTGTTTGTGACCAAGAATCTGATTGGTTTGTGACCAGTGCATGATGTGTGACCTAAAAATTATTAATTTGTGACTACTAATTTAATAAATTGTGACCTGAATATAATTTAAGTTCAATTAATGTGACGATTGTGACCATAAATAATTGTTGTGACTTATAAATTTTTTAAGTTGTGACCAATGAACAAATGTGACCTATGAAAATTTTGAATTGTGACCTAAATATTTTCGTCGAATGTTCGATTAATGCAATGTTTGTGACCGTAAATAAGTATTGTGACTTATAAATTTTGTGATTTGTGATCGATGAAAAAATTGTGATTTTTAAATTTTTAAGTTGTGACTGATGAACAAATTGTGACCTATGAAAATTTTGAATTGTGACCTAAAAAATTTCGAATTGTGATCAAATTGTATAGATTTGTGACTTTAACATATTCGCCGGAAAAGTCACCGGAGAAGTCGCCGGAGAAGAATGGTGATCGGAAAGGTCGCCGGAATATTCCCGGAGGTGTAGGGGTGGTGGAGGTGGGGGTAGGTTAATTATTTTATCGTAAAATTAAATATTAATAATAAATTAATTTAGTAATTATTATTTTATAATTAAAAATTTAAAAAAACCTGAATTTTGAAATTTGAAACATGCTTTGGGATTTTTGAAATAGGTAAAAGTAAAAGCATGATTTATGTAATCTTCCCTATAAATAATGGCATGTTTAACGGTGTCAAAAAGTTAGGCCAAACTGAGTCGCGAGGTGAAGCTGGCTGCAGCCCGATCAACAAAAGGCTCGGATTTTATTTTGCCCAAATTAAACTGAGCTGAGCCAAAGCCCAAGCTCAAGCTAAGTCTCGAAATTTGGGCTTGGCTTGAGCCTTAGCTTGGTTCTATTGAGCTCAGAGTCGAGCCGACTCAAACTTTTCTCTTGCCAAGCCACAGGTCGCCCAAGTCGATGGGCTCATTTTACATCCCTGGGCATGTTTACAATTACATATGTTGAAAGTTGAAACCCTATAAGTCTATGTTTGGCCCCCATTTTTACAAAACTCATTTTTTCAAAATTTATTTTCAATCAAATTTTACACAAAAATCAAAAAAATTTCCTTCTTTTTTAACCACACATTCTCTAAAAATCATTGTTCCAAAATACATTTTCTTACTAAAATTGAGCTCAAACAGGGACTATATAAACATCAACGCTACCGACTAGAAACAATGTGCCTTCGACAATAAATAGCAAGAACTATAAATTTAGAGACCCTACTACTAAAGATCATGTGCCCTACCTATACCCATCATCGTATAAATGTATTTTATAATAAAATTTTTATTACATAATCTCTTCCTCACATGTAAAATAAACATACTCATGAGGATTATTGGTGTCAACATGCGCGGATCGATTTGAATCGACTAGTCCAAGTCATGACCCAATTCAGACCGAACCAATTATTGGACCGGCCTTTCTTTCTGTCAACGGACAGCTTTGACAGCTTTGTTGTCCACATTTCTTTCCTTATTTTAGCCCACTATTGTTTCCTTATTTTCCCATTTATTATTCGGTACAGTTAGCATACAGTATTTGACAGATTATAGTTTACATGTATAGAGCTAGAATCATGCAGGAACTTATTTGCTTTTCATGTATAGCATCCTTGTAATGTCTATATATAATATACAGAACTCAAGGCCAACTCATTCGGCCATTCACATAATATTTTTGACATGGTATCAAGAGCCGTTGTTAATTTTTTTTCCTAGAATTTTTTTTTTCTCTCTTCTCGGTTTCGGACGTGCCGCCTTTATGTTTCGGTCAAATCTGTGTGGTCTTGTGGTGCACCAGTTGTCTTTCTACAGCTTGTCTGGGTGTTTTGGGGTTCTTTCTTTTGTCTCGGCCTCTATTTCTTTTCTATGGATTCCGCACCTGTTTGTATTAAGTTTACGGGCACCAATTATTCTATCTGGGCATTTCAGTTTGAACTTTTTCTCAGGGGAAAAGCTCTTTTGGGTCATATTGATAGCACAGATGTCGTACAATCATCCACTTCTGATAAATCTCAGGATGACTAGTCTTCTCCTTCATAGGCTGTGCTTGATGCACGCATCATGTCCTGGCTTCTGGTTTCATGGAGCCCCATATTGTCACCAACTTGCTGCCCCATCGCTCCGCTCAATCCATGTGGGCTTACTTGAAAAAGGTTTATCATCAGGACAATGATGCTCGTCGCTTCCAGTTATAACGTGCGATTGCATGTTTCAACATGATAGTCTTTCCATCCAGGACTACTATTCGGTATTTCTAACTCTCTGGCATGAATATGCTGATTTGGTTACAGCGGATGTTCCGGTTGCAGTTCTTTCAACTATTCAGACTCTTCATGCGACTACTCGCTTGATCAGTTTCTTATGAAACTACGGCCAGAATATGAATCTGTTCGCTCCTCTTTACTGAACAGATCTCATGTTCCCTCTCTTGATGTTTGTTTTGGTGAGTTACTTCGGGAAGAACAACGTCTTAGTACTCAAGCTATTCTTGAGCAATCTCATGGGAGTTCCGGGACGACAACTGTGGCTTATGCCACTCAAGGATGCAGACCACCTATGCGTTCTAGAACTTTGCAGTGTTTCTGCTGCAAGGAATTTGGGCATATTGCTGCCAATTGTCCTAAGAAATTCTGCTCTTATTGCAAGAAGAAGGGTCACATTATCAAATAATGTCGTATTCGTCCCCAGAATCATCAGGCTCAAGCATTTTAGACTTCGGTTATTGTCCCTCCCGCAGTGAATTCTGCAGCACATGGCTCTTCTTCAGATGCGTCCTCTGTTCCTGCACCTCCTGCTCCTGATTATTGCACCTCAGAAATGGTACAACAGATGCTAATTTCGACATTATCAGCAATGGGGTTCCAAGGTAACAATTCTACAAAACTCTGGTACGTGGACTCGGGGACCTCTAATCACATGACTAACAATCCCACCTCTTTGTGTCATGTTCGGCCCTACGCTGGTCAATCTGCTATTCAGACAGCCAATGGCAGTTCTTTACCAATAGCTACTGTCGGAGATGCCTCTTCTAAGTTTACTGATGTGTTTCTTGCTCCTCATCTTTCCACAAATCTTATTTCCGTTGG